CAAGAGCAGTGTCATCAGCAAAGAGCAAGTGTGACAACTCCCACTTTATGCGTGATTCTTTATCTTTTAACTCCACGCCTCTTGCCAAGACCCTCGCATTTACTTCTCTTACAACCCCATCTATAAATATATTAAACAACCACGGTGACATCACACATCCTTGTCTAAGGCCTACTTTTACTGTGAAATAATTTCCCTCTTTCCTACATACTCTAACTTGAGCCTCACTATCCTCGTAAAAACTCTTCACTGCTTTCAGTAACCTACCTCCTACACCATACACGGGCAACATCCGCCACACTGCCCCCCTATCCACCCTGTCATACACCTTTTCCAAATCCATAAATGCCACAAAGACCTCTTTAGCCTTATCTAAATACTGTTCACTTATATGTTTCACTGTAAACACCTGGTCCACACACCCCCTACCTTTCCTAAAGCCTCCTTGTTCATCTGCTATCCTATTCTCCGTCTTACTCTTAATTCTTTCAATAATAACTCTACCATACACTTTACCAGGTATACTCAACAGACTTATCCCCCTATAATTTTTGCACTCTCTTTTATCCCCTTTGCCTTTATACAAAGGAACTATGCATGCTCTCTGCCAACCCCTAGGTACCTTACCCTCTTCCATACATTTATTAAATAATTGTACCAACCACTCCAAAACTATATCCCCACCTGCTTTTAACATTTCTATCTTTATCCCATCAATCCCGGCTGCCTTACCCCCTTTCATTTTACCTACTGCCTCACGAACTTCCCCCACACTCACAACTGGCTCTTCCTCACTCCTACAAGATGTTATTCCTCCTTGCCCTATACACGAAATCACAGCTTCCCTATCTTCATCAACATATAACAATTCCTCAAAATATTCCCTCCATCTTCCCAATACCTCTAACTCTCCATTTAATAACTCTCCTCTCCTATTTTTAACTGACAAATCCATTTGTTCTCTAGGCTTTCTTAACTTGTTAATCTCACTCCAAAACTTTTTCTTATTTTCAACAATTTTTGTTGATAACATCTCACCCACTCTCTCATTTGCTCTCTTTTTGCATTGCTTCACCACTCTCTTAACCTCTCTCTTTTTCTCCATATACTCTTCCCTCCTTGCATCACTTCTACTTTGTAAAAACTTCTTATATGCTAACTTTTTCTCCCTTACTACTCTCTTTACATCATGATTCCACCAATCGCTCCTCTTCCCTCCTGCACCCACTTTCCTGTAACCACAAACTTCTGCTGAACACTCAACACTACATTTTTTAAACCTACCCCATACCTCTTCGACCCCATTGCCTATGCTCTCATTAGCCCATCTATCCTCCAACAGCTGTTTATATCTTACCCTAACTGCCTAATCTTTTAGTTTATAAACCTTCACCTCTCTCTTCCCTGATGCTTCTATTCTCCTTGTATCCCATCTACCTTTTACTCTCAGTGTAGCTACAACTAGAAAGTGATCTGATGTATCTGTGGCCCCTCTATAAACATGTACATCCTGAAGTCTACTCAACAGTCTTTTATCTACCAATACATAATCCAATAAACTCCTGTCATTTCGCCCTACACCATATCTTGTATACTTATTTATCCTCTTTTTCTTAAAATATGTATTGCCTATAACTAAACCCCTTTCTATACAAAGTTCAATCAAAGGGCTCCCATTATCATTTACACCTGGCACCCCAAACTTACCTACCACACCCTCTCTAAAAGTTTCTCCTACTTTAGCATTCAGGTCCCCTACCACAATTACTCTCTCACTTGGTTCAAAGGCTCCTATACATTCACCTAACATCTCCCAAAATCTCTCTCTCTCCTCTGCATTCCTCTCTTCTCCAGGTGCATACACGCTTATTATGACCCACTTCTCGCATCCAACCTTTACTTTAATCCACATAATTCTTGAATTTACACATTCATATTTCTCTTTTCTCCTTCCATAACTGATCATTCAACATTACTGCTACCCCTTCCTTTGCTCAAACTCTCTCAGATACTCCAGATTTAATCCCATTTATTTCCCCCACCGAAACTCCCCTACCCCCTTCAGCTTTGTTTCGCTTAGGGCCAGGACATCCAACTTCTTTTCATTCCAAACATCAGCAATCATCTGTTTCTTGTCATCCGCACTACATCCATGCACATTCAAGCATCCCAGTTTTATGAAGTTTTTCTTCTTCTCTTTTTTAGTAAATGTCTACAGGAGAGGGGTTACCAGCCCATTGCTCCCGGCATTTTAGTCGCCTCATACGACATGCATGGCTTACGGAGGAAAGATTCTTTTCCACTTCCCCATGGACAATAGAAGAAATAAAGAACAACAAGAGTTATTTAGAAAAAGGAGAAAAACCTACATGTATGTATATATATATATACAGTGGACCCCGCAAAGTGTGCATCGGATAGCGATTTTTTCCGCATAACGATTTTTATCGCAAAAATATTACAAGCAATTACCATATAAAACACGTTACCGTTTCGTCCAGCATCTCCATGGACCCTCAGTCACTCCCTGGGGGGTCGCTGTCACCAACCTACTACCCAACAGCCTCCAACATTTTCCCAAACATACCCTTTTCATTATTACAGTAATTTCAGATTTTTCTGAAAAACAGTGACATGGCTCCCAAACTTCTAGTGCCAAACCTGTGTTAAAGGGGCAATTTAATATGGTAAATTAACAAAATTTTAAGTGGCTACCCTGAGATAACTATGCCAATGTGAACCAAATTATGTGTTATTTCTGTTAAGGAATGCTTTAGGTAGGTGATATTTTTAGAGGAAATCCCCGAAATGGACCGTGCTTTGACATATTTCTATGAACAATGTTATGGCCCATTTTAGGAAAGTCTTGAAGGAACGGATGAAGAGCTCTATGACAGATTTGTTGTGCGACAGAGGTCCAGTGACTCTCAAGCTGGTCCTAGTGGCATTAAAAGAAGAAGGGAAGTAACCCCAGAAAAGGACTTGCTACCTCAAGTCCTAATGGAAGGGGATTCCCCTTCTAAACAGTAAGAAGATAATGCTCTCCCCTCCTCCCATCCCATCAATCATCACCAGATCTTCAATAAAAGTAAGTGTCATGTAATTGTGCATGCCTTTTTCAGTTTGTGTGTATTAAAATTAACATTTCATGTGGTAAAAAAATTTTTTTTCATACTTTTGGGCGTCTTGCACGGATTAATTTTATTTCCATTATTTCTTATGGGGAAAATTCATTCGCATAACGATTATTTCGCATAACGATGAGCCCTCTTGCACGGATTAAAATCGTTAACCGGGGGTCCACTGTATATGCATGTGCGTGTCTGTGACCAAAGTGTAAGTAGGAGTAGCAAGATATCCCTGTTATCTAGCATGTTTATGAGACAGAAAAAGAAACAAGCAATCCTACCATCATGCAAAACAGTTACAGGTTTCTGTTTCACAGTCATCTGGCAGGACGGTAGTACTTCCCTGGGTGGTTGCCGTCTACCAACCTACTACCCAAACATGACATCACCATTTCTCAAAATATCCCTTTCTCATTACTTAAACATTTCAGATTTCACTCTTGACAGAACATTACACTGGCTTCCTCAAACTCTCTCCAAAGCTTATTTCAGTCATCCTCTACAAGGTAGCATGAACCAAATACAGTGGACCCCCGGATAACGATCAGCTCCCAACTCGACCAATTATGTAAGTTTATTTTTGTAAGTGCTTTTGTAGGTGTATTTTTAGGGGTCTGAAATGGACTAATCTAATTCACAATATTTCTTATGGGAACAAATTCGGTCTATAACGGCACCCAAACAGACTTCTGGATTGAAATAATATCGTTAAGCGGGGGTCCACTGTAATAGGAAATGCTCATCACCATTCATTCAATAGTGAACACACACACACCACAATGCAACTGACTCTCTGAATCATAACATTCTTACTCCATTAGATACAGGTACTGTACTTCCTGCCTCCAAGACAAAGTCTGACTAACCAATTTCCCTTAAAGTGCCTTCCTAAATGCCACCATGTTCACACTCCAGCACCAAGTCCTTAAATCACTTGTTTTTGCTCACCTCAGTCTAACATGCCTATTGGAAGTTCAAGCCCCTACCACTTAACCCCTTTATACTCTCCCTCCAACCCTTCCTAGATTGACCCCAATGCCTTGTTTCCAAGCCAGACGTATACTCTCTCTCAATTATCCTCCTCCTCCTCTCAACAAGCCAGCTGTATCCCACTGAAGCAGGGCGGCCCAAAAAGAAAAACGTAAGTTTCTCCTTTTAACTTTAGTAATGGATACAGGAAAAGGGGTTACTAGCCCCTTGCTCCCAGCATGTTAGTTGCCTCTAATGACACGCATGGCTTAGAGGAAGAATTCTGTTCCACTTCTCCATGGAGATAAGAGGAAATAAACAAGAACACGAACTATTAAGAAAATAGAAGCAAACCCAGAGGGGTACATCTATATATATACATATATATATATGTGCTTGTACATGCATGCTTAATTTAGCTGTGTGCTCTTATAGGGACTTAGAAGTAATTTTTATTTAAAATTATGTATAGATCTTTTCATAAACCACATGTTGTGTTAATGTCAATTTCATAAGACTACAAGTGTGTTAGCACCTCACTACTACTTACTAATGTGAAGAAGATGATATTCTATATTCTGCAAAAACAGCTAGATTTATTAGGCATGTATATCATTTTTGGCAACCATATGCCTTGAAGCATATACCAATATTTAAGCAAAAAAATACACATATTCCACTAACTGCATCACCCAAGCTATACAAATAGTTCACTTTAAACAATGAAATGATTTTCTGATATACTAATAGAGAAATTATAGCCTTATATACTTAGAAGACTGCAAAACTCTGAATGTGAGCAATTTCAGCAAAGGAGAATGACTAAAAACTTACATGTACAGAGAATACAAGTGCATAGGTTGGGAGCACACCTGTGTGGAGAGTTTCAAAATAGGCTCTTACCTTGTGGGGATGCTTGACGTGACAGCAGAATCCTAATTCCTTTAAAAGCCGTCGTTCAGCTTTGATGACCTGATTCTTGAGGGCTATGTAGTTGCTGTCTAGAATCACAGGTTGAATGGTCCTGTAATCATATCATTGTTAGTGGGCTACTAGAATTACATCATACCTTCCCATCATTCTCTTACTGAATTATTATTATATGAAATAAGTCAAGCTGCTTCCATGACTTATTTCCAGTACTGGCAGAACATTTAGCATTCAACACCTCACAACCAGACCATAATGACTTTACAATAAAAACACCAAACATTCACTTCAATCACTGAACATTTACACACAAACCTTAAATCTTTGCTACAATTTGCATACAATTATCAAAGAAAATACTGCAAATAGGTTACTCACTTTCCATTCTTTACTTGTCTAACATGATTGAAGACATTGATAACGTCCCTGATCTTGCGAGGTGCCTCCTCAATCTTGGATGCTAGAGCAATGCATGCCATAGCGGTAGTCTCCATGGGGTACCTAACCATTGACTTTGCATAGTAAAATCTTTGAAAGAGTACTTGTCCAGCTGCCATTGCAAC